GTGCCCCTTTCCTCTAGGGTAAAAACTCGGCCGATTCCGCTCGTTCCCTCCATTTTGTTCGCCTCTACTGCCGGCTCTTCAGCCTTTATGCCGAAGAAAAGGGTGGCTTCAATTTCTCGCGGAAACGCGCCTTCAGCTACCCCTAGAGCGGCCATTCAGGGGGCGCTTTGCGGGGGGTAACGAGGGAGCTTGCGAGGCCTCCGCGCTTTTGCGAGCTTCCCTGATCGATTCTGGTCGACGCGTTATTTCCGCTCCTCCGGGGTGTGTTAAGACTCCGGTGGAGAAAATTAACAAAATAAGGAAAGATGCGGAAAACTAAGAAACGAGGAAGTGCGTCGACCGGGTGAAATTCAGCCACTCTATAGGAACCCTTTTCACGGCTGAATATTTCCTGGGTTCCCTGGGAGGAAGACGAAGCGCCTTCTCCCTTTCCGACAGGTCGAGGGTGGCGGGGGCTAAAAAGAGGAACGTCCAATTTTCCGTGAAATTCAACTTTATACCCTCTGTCACCTCGGTTGGGGGAGGGAGGGGGCTGAGAGGAAATTCCCAGTCTTCGAAATTTTCACCCGGTTTGCAGACTGCGCGATCCTTCTTTTATGCGTTCTTCTTCGTTTCCTTCTTGCCATCTCTTTTTCTTTTTTCATTTTATTTCCTTTCCTTTTTCCTGATCCACTCGCTCGGTCGACACCTACGCGATCGGAGGTTCGAGTTCCTCCTTTTTATCAGCCGAGCCGGAGATGGCGACACGAGAAGAAAAACATCCAATTCCCCGGGAAAACGCGTCTTTAGTATCACCGGGAAAACGGGACGAGGGCTTTCTCCTTCGATACACATCCTTGGGTACCTCCTCCAAGGACCTGATCCGATTATACTGCCGCCTCGTGAAATTGCAGACGACGAACCTGATGCTGATCGAGCTTGCCGATACCTCTTCAGCCAGTTATCAAAAATGCCGGGTGATAAAACGAGGGAAAATCAATCCCTGGATAATTGTATGCCCATTCTTCTTCTTCTTCTTCTTCTTTTTTTTTAACGGTTTTCGGATTTTCATTTCCGAGGGGAAATGAATGTTTGGCGAAGTATATCCGCGGCGTGGCAGGGAATTCTAGGAGAACGCACTTTCATCATTTTCTCCCCCATAGAAGGGGATGCACCCTTGCTATTTATCAGACTTCCAGACGACAGGGGGAAGTTTTAGGTCGAGCTTAAAATTGTAGTCAGACACAAGTTTCCTCGATTCGATTCCCGCGGACTCCTCGAACCGAACAAGAGCTCTTCGTCCTTTGACAGAACGAACGTGCCTCAATTCCTGGAAAAACCTGGAAAAGAACTTTCGGCCCGTCGGAACAATTCCGAAGAACGCGACATGACATTTGTATCGGTCGAATCAAGGAGATGGGAATTTAATTCGATTACTCCGTTCGATGATCTTGGCCCGGCGATAAAAAAGAGACACCTGAACCCGTTTCAATGATGAACATCCTGCGACATGTGGAGGCCAAAGGATAAGTCAGTGATGAAATTGGGATGTTGAAATTGCAAGCGCGCTTTCCATGAAGATTTAGGAAAGGAATGGAGAATTTGAATGAGAATATTTCTAATTCGATGATCTTGGCCCGGCGATAAAAAAGAGATACCTGAACCCGTTTCAATGATGAACATCCTGCGACATGTGGAGGCCAAAGATATGTCAGTGGTGAAATTGGGATGTTGAAATCGCAGGCGTACTTTCGATGAAGATTTAGGAAAGGAATGGAGAATTTGAATGAGAATATTTCTAATTCGATGATCTTGGCCCGGCGATAAAAAAGAGATACCTGAACCCGTTTCAATGATGAACATCCTGCGACATGTGGAGGTCAAAGGATATGTCAGTGATGAAATGGGGATGTTGAAATCGCAAGCGCGCTTTCGATGAAGATTTAGGAAAGGAATGGAGAATTTTAATGAGAATATTTCTCATTCGATGATCTTGGCCCGGCGATAAAAAAGAGATACCTGAACCCGTTTCAATGATGAACATCCTGCGACATGTGGAGGCCAAAGGATATGTCAGTGGTGAAATTGGGATGTTGAAATCGCAAGCGCACTTTCGATGAAGATTTAGGAAAGGAATGGAAAATTTGAATGAGAATATTCCTAATTCGATGATCTTGGCCCGGCGATAAAAAAGAGAAACCTGAACCCGTTTCAATGATGAACATCCTGCGACATGTGGAGGCCAAAGATATGTCAGTGGTGAAATTGGAATGTTGAAATCGCAAGCGCACTTTCGATGAAGATTTAGGAAAGGAATGGAGAATTTGAATGAGAATATTTCTAATTCGATGATCTTGGCCCGGCGATAAAAAAAAGAGAAACCTGAACCCGTTTCAATGATGAACATCCTGTGACATGTGGAGGTCAAAGGCTATGTCAGTAATGAAATTGGGATGTTGAAATCGCAAGCGCACTTTCGATGAAGATTTAGGAAAGGAAGGGAAAATTTGAATGAGAATATTTCTATGCGGGGGGTGCGAATTTATCCTCTTTTTGGGGGCGGATGCGGAAGTCGACGGCGCAATTTCGGGGGCTCTGGCATGGTAAAGGCTCGGTGTAATAGAATTTCACGCTGAACTTGGCCTCTGGCGATGGAAACCAGCCCTTAGGTCGGTAATATAGCTTCGGGTCTGTCCACAACAATTCAGGCCGGACCGCAGGATGTCGCCGGGGCGTAGTAGAGGCCAACGTGTGGTCAGACCGAAGCGAGCGGCTGACCAGGCTTTGATATCACTACTGGGAATATTTACGAGAACCTCGAATTACATCCTTAAAGTCGTTCCTAACCTCCTAAGAAATTTCCTAATGTATCCAAACTGAAGAAAACCGGTCGGTTGGAATAAAGCGCCGACATTAAGGTGAAGTGAAACCCCCTTCAAATCAGTCGATTCGAATACAACACTTTTTTTAAAGGATATTAGACCAAACTGTCCGAAACTTTGACACATCACTCCTGATCATCTAAGAATTGTCCTGACACATTCAAAATTTGGATTTTTGGAAAACATTTTTTAACTTAGCCCAGACCAGAACCAAAATGGCGTCGAGCTCTCATATTTTGATCAATATACAATTATTGAAGGCTCTGATATAAGAAACGAGAGGGTCAGGACAATTTTACGACAATTTAGAACACTCTGGTAATCGATAAACTCGCATTCGAACGAAATAAAGGCAAAAAAAGTGTTTATGCGCTTCTATGCTAAAACGATGGGAATACGAGGTCTTGGCGTGAAAATTGAATTGACCTGGAAATCACAGATGGCGCAGGGGGTCTCTCTGCACTCAATTAAGGCCTCAGAAAGCACGAATCTAGAGGATTTCTCGAGTTTTACTTCGATTTCTTGATATTTATTATACGAAAACGACAGATGAAGTATACCATTTGATGCAATACCCAATATAATTCGACCCAGCTGTCAATATAAAAACGTACGTCGGCAACGTAGGCATGTTGAAAAATCTTCTTTATCGACGTCGTTCAAGTTGCTCGACGTTTTTCACTTCACCTTAAAGGGTACTTCCTCGAACCGGCCAAAAAGTGAAGCGAAAAAATTAGGCTCGGTCGAAATTCCCCTACAAAATAAGAAGTTGGAAATGTCCAGTTTGAAATTTTGATGCTCACGAGTCGCGTTCTAAAATGTCAGCCGATTTGGAGGGATGTTTTCACTGAAAGTGTTCGATTCGAATCGACTCGGTCGGAACGTGAGCGTCGCCTTAAGTTCCTCGAAGCTGTGCTTATCGCATTTGTTCTTATCTCTCTTTTATACGTCGGGATCGCTGTCGAATCGATCCCGAAGTTTGCCGGCCTTGGGGGCTGGTGTCCTAAGTAGTGCGAAGCCGTTTGGTCGGATTCGCTACTTGGGATTCCGGGCGGGAACGGCTGACTAGACTGCGACTACTTTCCCTGGAGTTCCGCAGTGGAGCAGATGGCGCCGACCCCGTGCACCCGATAGTTCCTTGGCCCGATGCAACTCCTCGCAACTACTGCCAATTCCGAATGCCAGCCAACTGCGGAGTGCTTAACGTTAATTATTCCCCGAGCAATTAATCCCGAACGTTCGATGTAGTCGCAGGGTCGCGCGATTGCCGTTTAATTTTCCAACGGGCAAAGCTCTCTCATCGAAAGCCCTCGTTAAGGTGGGAATGAAAATCTCCGAGAAATCGATCGTTCGCGAAATTTATTCCCGATATTACGCGATGAAATTTCAAGCGATTCGATGCATCCACTTTGGAGGAACACAAAAAAGAATTCACGGCCGATCGCTTTCGCGTCGCCTTAAAGCATCTAATATGTGTTCCTGCGATGAAAGAAAAAAAAAATGAAATTTCACAGGTGTCCCGACCTGCCTTAAGGCCTTTGCAACTTAGATTGTATAGTTTCAAACGATTCGGTACGTTCAGTTTGAAGAAAAGTGTTATGGACTATCAGACGCCACTTTCGTGTCCCCTTAAGGCGTCGCCCTGATCATGTTTCAGGTGCGTAAAGCTGGCACCCCCACCTTTACAAAATTCAAACTTCTTTGTCTTAACATTTTGTGCTCTTTATGTGCTAATTATGTGCTACATTCGCAAATGTTGTGCTAGCTTTTTAATGGTGGGGGTGCTAGCTTTATTAGTACCCAGCACCCCCACAGAAAAAATTGAATTTTTTTCCAAAAATCGAGCTAGCACAAAATTTGCGAATGTAGCAGATAATTAGCACATAAAGAGCACAATATGTTAAGACAAAGAAATTTGAATTTTGTAAAGGTGGGGGTGCCAGCTTTACGTACCTTCATGCTTCCCTCTAAGAGGAGCTTCGAGCTTAATGCGTTTAATAAGTTTGACGGAATTCATTCCTTCGATTTATGGATATATCGCGTTTAATTAGAACCCAAGTTTAATTAAGGGTGCAATTGATAGTCGACATTGGAAGTGGCCAATTTAAAGCGAGCGATTTCTCCTTTTTCCGGCAATAGTCGGAGGTGTTCCAGGCGGCAGTTGCGGCGGCGGCTGTTGCAGCTGCAGGTGGCCAACAGCCAGCACCAACTCCCGGTGGAAACGAAGCTAGTCCCGAAGGTGGAACCGACACCGGAACTCTGGTACCAGTGACGTCAGGTGCGACGACGCTGGCCACCGTGACACAAGGCACAGACCTCAAAGGCCAACCAAAGCGCCTCCACGTCAGCAACATACCCTTCCGCTTCCGGGACCCTGATCTCAGGGCGATGTTCGGGGTGAGTCGATCGATCGATTATCGCCTATCGACTATGCGGCAATTTCAAGGCCACCCAATAAAACGTCGAGTAAAGATACATTTTTGCAATCCGTACGATTGTCAAATTAGGCATACAGAAGCTGCATGAAAAAAAAGATCTCGATTCAGCTACGAGTCGCGTTGATTAATCGATACACCGAGAAAAAAGAAATTCATTGAACCGGAGAAATATTTCTTGGAACGGTACCGAAGAAATATTTCGATTCTTCGAACAAAAAATAATTATTTGACGTAAACAAACTGGAATAAATTGGACAAAATATTTCTCCGGCTTCTTGAATTTTTTTTTTATAACGGTGTGTATGTAGTTTCGTTCGATATATTTTTTTTAAATTTGGTAAATTAGGAATATTGGCCGGATGTGATAATTCACCGAATAATTCTTGGGTAATTAAATGGAGGAGAGAGGGGGCAGTCCTCCGGGGGGTCCCTTTCCCAGAGGTCACCGACCCCTGGGACGTTCTCCAAAGCCCTTCCAGAGACTCCGGGGAGCCGATACTCGATGCAACTCTGAAGCATCTCGGAAGTTTTAACGATACTCTCTCTCCTCCTCCGGGGCTCGGATTCCGGCGGGAGATTCAAACTTGGCCGTCGAGACCGGCCATTGAAATTCCGCCCGGCCTGTTTCTGTTTTCAATTCCGCGGCCCGACGTCGTCCAATTTTCGACGTTCGATTTTGCCCCGATGTCGCGATACCCCATCCCCCGCTGCTGGGGGAACTTTGCCCCCGGGGAACTTCGCTTCCGAAGTTCACCCTAGGCGAAGTTTGGTCCCCGGCTCGCCATTGATCCGAGAACTGCTCTAATTGGAGGCCGGTCCTTCTTTCTCTGTTCGCAGCAATTCGGGCCGATCCTCGACGTGGAGATCATATTCAACGAGAGGGGAAGCAAGGTAAGCGAATTCCGCGCCCTTAGGCCGCGAGCCACCCCTGTCAACAACCCACCCCCGATGTGCACCATCACAATTAGACTTATAATCGCATTACCGGAGTGCTCCGAGTTCCAGGGCGACAGGGAGTTACGGTAGCCTTCCTCCCGGGAGCCGGCCGCCATTTTGGATCCACGTTAGGCCTTCAAAAATCGACAAAGCCTTGAACGAAAAGAAAATAAGAATTTTATCCGGAGGTGTTACTAAAGGCCGTGTTATTACTCGCAATTATAATTCCACGAGTTCGATCCTCCTTTGTTCCAGTTTCGATAAAACCCCGGAAATCCTGGACTCCGAAGAGAATGCATCGCAACTGAATTTGAAATATGTATAATTTAATTCGATTATTTAAACGGGGCATATTAATTCGACATTTCACGAGGGAACGTAAAATCCAATCGTGCGAGCGGGTTTGATTTATCATTAGAGAATTCGGGGAGGAATCTGCGATTTAAATGGAGAATTGACTTTTCGGGGAAAAGAGGTTAGAGACCATTTTTTTACGTCCTCCTGGAACTCGGAAGTGCCGCGTAACGAAGGTTGTCCAGAGAAGGGAGACATGCAGAGGCACGGGTATGTTTTCTTTTTTGCTCAGGGGTACTTTTTTTCCCCTTTCTTTCTCGTCCCCTTTAGGACCTTTATTATTCCTCCGAGAAGTCCGAATTTGCATGGCCGCGAGGAAAAGGTTTCGAGATAACTCGGCCGTGTCGAGCTTGCGCGTGGCTCTGCATTTCTTTCCACTCTGATTTATTTTCAGCTCGCTGGCAACGCTCCTCCGATAGGAAGTACCATCGACGTTCGACAGATAACAGATCGACTCAATCACCATTTACCAGCTCCAATTATTCAGACGACGGACCTCCTTCAGACGCCCCTTTCTGGTTCACCCTACCGAGACATGTCGGACGATTACCGCGTCCTGCAAGCTCACATTCCTTGTTAGCATTCCTTCCAAATCGAGAATCCTTTAATTCAGGACTAAATTCGTCATCGAGTTCAAATCTTCGAACCCTTTAACAGTTCCTTTCTTTCAAGCTTCCCCTCATTTCCTCCGAAAATGCGACTTCCGGTTAACCGGTTTCCCTGCAAGTGTGAAATAGAAGCGAGAAAATATTCAGGAAAATTACTGGGAGGTTCTCCGTTAGGAGTTTTGGATTTTCACAAGCAGCAGATTGTCGGTAGAGGGGCTTGGGGGGGGGGGGGGTAAATCCGTCCAACTTTTTTTAGGATTTTTGGTGCTCAGGTGTTGTCGCAGTCCTTCTTCCGCCCTCGTTAAGGGGCTGTTCTTTCCCTCGATTTTCCCGGGGAAAACTGGGGAAAAAAAAATGCGTTTGAGATGCAAATCGGCCCCAATATGGCCGCCGTGGAGCGGGATAAGATCCGCAGTAATACATCGCGTCGACAGGCGGCATCCGGTGAGCTCGCATATTCAGCACTTCGGCGTCAAGTGCGTCCAAGTGCACTTTATCAAGCCACCGGGGTAAATGGGAGCCGAGGGTGGTTCCAGCTTTCGAATCGTCATCCCTGACCTGGGTGCTAAAATTGTCGTCATCGGCCGAGGAGCCCCAGCTTTCAATAATCCCCTCGTTTGCATTGCATGTAAATAGAAACCGCAATCGCGACCTAATAATCGCCCTCCACCTAGAATTTAACACCTATTTCCTAGACAAAGAAGGAGAAAATAGGAATTAACTGCTATTTAAAGAAAAACCAAGATGGCCGACATCTCGGGCCGACCGACGCGACCTCTTGCACTTCTCGTTGGAATAATTAATGCCGGCCGACTCGGCGAATTTATCGGAAAACTACTCGCCCGACACTTCCCATCGAACGTTTTCTCCGATTGGCCGGGGAAACGAATTGAAACGAACGGTCAATTAGTGATCGTTAAGCGCCTCTTTGTATCCTCACCTTCCCCACGTCCGTCTTTCTCTCTCTCTCCGTCCCTCTGGCGCTCTTCCTGCTCTTTAGTTTCTCTTTGCCTTACCCGGTTCCTCCTTTTTCCCTCCTGCACCCCTCGTCGAATCGGCGGAATAATTAATCGTGCGTTAAAAATCAATAGCTCGCCTCCGATGCACTTCTACATTCGGGGGTAGTTGAAGTGGAACTGTCGCGAGTTTAGTCAGCCGCGAAAGTGGAAATTCCGCGTTTAGAGTCAGACATTTCGGTGAAACGGTCGCAAAGTCGAAATCTCAAAAATAGAATACTGGAGTATTAAGGAGACAGGAAAGGGTCATTCTATATGTATCAAACCGTGAGAATATTTATCAAACTTTTCTCCAAACTGGGTGCACCGAATTATCGGAAACATTAACACGTGATTATGGAGGCCCTAAGGATGAGAGATGTGAGACGTGAGATTTCACTTCTCGGTAAAAAAAGTCTTTTGGGTTTTGGTTCTAGATAAACACAAATTTCTTTTGGAAAAATGAAATTTCACGTGCATCGGGTTTTTCCTTAAGGTCTCCACAATCTCCCGATGAAGTTTCAAATGTTTCGTAATACTCAATTTGGAGAAAAGTTTTATAAATATTTTGACTTTTTGGCATGTATGTATATATACACTTTCATATCATCTTAACACTGGAACGGGACGAAGATAATTCCTTTGAACGAGGAAAAAGATATAGGAATTACGAAAGCACTTCTATATACCCTTTGCTATTTTTGTTCTTTTGTAATTTCAATTTCGTAGTGAAATTTTTGAAATCTTTTTTATTGCTCCTGGATGGAGAAGGTCGCAAGGGAGGCGTTTCTAGAGTCGGACTCTCGGTCCCAGAAGTCGGCGATCGTTAATTCATCAACTGGCACAGAGGCTGGATGCTGCCTCTGGACCGGAAGTCCGCGTCAGGGGACTTCCGTCCCCATAAGAGCCAATCACGACTCGAGACGGGATCGTCGGTCCTCCTCCAGTTTCCGGATGAAGGAGCGAGCGGGCGGTGGATTAATTAAACTCGTTTACAACCGGATCGTATTTATCTCCCTGACCAGTCGGGGACAGTTTCGCTGACCAATCGAATCGCCAATGCCGGCCACTGGGAAAGTCGAAACCCGGGAAGAAACGCGAAGATCTACGACCCAGTTCGTTATCGTCCCATTAATCAAAACTCATTTATCTCCTCCCACCGAGCCTATATATCTTTTTTTCTCGATATTTTCTAGCTCGACCTAACCTCGTTCCGGCGAGTCGGCTCACAAGTTGCCAGAAAGGGGGTTGTCATTTTATTTTGAAAATAATCTCCCCCGATATCATGTTAGTTTCCAAATGAATTCGATTAAATCGAATAATTGGATCACTCGACTCGTTTGCCGATTAATTCGCGATGGAGTTTCGCGCGCCCACGGGAGAAATGTAATCGGAAGATTAAAACGAGGCCGCGTTTATCCGAGCAAAACATTCCTGCTTAAATCGTTCGATTATGTCACTGCACGTGCGAGATAGTCTAATACGGCCCTCTTTCCCACGTCGCCCTAAATATTGCGCCACGGGATGGAATTAATTTCCTGATAAGCCCGATTTTACTCCCCATTAAAAAGGTAGTCCAGGCTCGGAATTAATCCCGGTTAATCCCGAGAACGTCCAAACTGGGGATTTTTCCTCGGCTTTTCGTTTTCGGATTTAATCCCCACCCCCTGCATTTGACGCTGTTTGTATGCGCATCTTGCGGGTTTCATAATTAATTCCCGCCGTAATCGGATTTAGCGCACTTAATGCGGGAATTCTTTTCCATATCCAGGTTCGCCTCGTCGAGGCCTCGCGCAGAATTCATTAATTTCCGAGTCTAATAAAGTCCCACCGTGGATTCGCACGGCGCCTCCCTGTCCCTTCAATTACCCGCCAGTTAACGGCGTAATTGGCACAATTTCGCCCTTTTTCGAGCCGAGTGACCCCCGCTGCCAATTTCCATAATTTCCCCGTCCCCGCCCCCGGCGCTGATCGATTCTCGACCTCGATAAGAGACTCGGTAAATTCTAACGAGACGTAACGACGTCCTGCCGAGTACTCGAAATATACGCCTTGATGACCGGCAATCATTAATCCTAATATTAACCATCATTTAACATTCGAAGCTCCCAATCGTCTTCCTCCCTCTTCGTGATCATCTTCAAGTCCTCCCTGTTAAACGAATATCACACGACTTTAGAATGATTGAAATTGAGAATTATCGATGATTATGAACACGAAAAAAAGAGAAAAAAGAAACCTAGACGATGACTGTATACGAGTGGGATTTTTAGAAAATCCATACTATCGGTGGCGTATTTAAAATTCCACTTTTTATCGTAATTGCATACGAAAGAATTGGTCAATGTTAACGAGACAAGATGACATCTCGGAGGAGCGTTGCCATTGTCATCTTTAGATATTAAGCGACGACGGCGCAACGAGATCCGATTAAAGCTCCGATTAATCCGAAAGCTCTAATCGGGGATCGTCTCGCTGTCCGTCGACGACCCAGTTTTCAGCCGCCATATGCTTTTGCAAAATGCGTCTTTTTATTCCCCCCCCTCCCCCTCCCCCCTCCTCCCCTCCCATCTCAGAGATACGTAGACGTACCGCGCGAGATAAAGAGAGAGAACGAGATACGCGGCCGCGGGTAGACCTTCCATTTTGTAAAAGCACCATGCTTAGCAGTAAGACAGTGATCTGTTACGAAAGCTTCGTCAATGTAAATGGAATGTGGCATCCCTAATGAAGTGCGGCATTTTTGAGAGAAAGAGGGAGAGTGAGAGAGAGAGCGAGTGGGCGGGAGAGAAAGGGAAAGAGGAAGGAGAGAGAGAGAATAAAAAATGGAGAAACTGGAAGACATGGCAAGGCACGTAATGGGCACGTTTCAAAAGCGGCTGAAAATGGAGAGGGATTTTTTCTTTCTGTCTCTCCTGCCCCCTTACTCCCGATTCTCTAATCGCCTCTGATAATCTTCCCTTCGTCTTCCACTTGATTTTAGATCGATTCGAGGATT